ATTTTAAAGTTTCATCCAATGAATTTCACCGAAGTTCACGTATATCTGAAGTGCATTCATATCATTATATGAAATACACTTCTCGCACAGTCTGCATACTATTTGGAGGTGTCAATAGCCCTTCGTGACACCTCTGATGGTGGTGTCAATAGCCATTGCTGACACCTCTGGTAGGTGTCAATGGCTCTTGCTGACACCTCTTAGTGGTGTCAATAGCCATTCCGATAAATTATTTGGTTCAGGCAGCCAACTTTTAATCAGTTTTAAAATTTCATCACCAGGTGACTTACAAACTTTTGAATTACGTAACCATCTTAATAATGTCTCCGTTGCATCGATGGTACGAATATTTGTATAATCGTGCAGACGTGGAGATACAGCAATTGTTTCACTAGTCATCAACAGTTTGGTTTGAACCAAAGGCAGACAGTTGTTCTGATAACAGTTCTTCCTGATCATCTCCATACGATATAAATTCTGGCTGATCTTCAATGTAAGATAATTCATCATCTGAACTAAAATTATCGACTCTACCTTGTGATTCATCACCGACTGTTATTGTTGAATTGTTTTTTGATTTAAATTGCACATTGTAGTCCATAATGGTTGATGAATGAATGTTGGTATCGTTATTGTTCGCGATTTGTGTGATCATCTATTTTCAAAAATTCGCGGAAGAGTCGGTGAATCATAATTTCCAGACTGGTTGGCAATGCTAAATTATTTAACGGCACAAATTTAATCTAATCTTTTTCGTTTGTGTTCTATTTAATCAAGATAAGAATGTATATAGCTTTCCACAGCAGAAAACAAAGCTAATGAATCATAATTCACTCTCTTAATGTTTCATTTGTTCTTTTTATTATTAACTCTTTGTAGACGAGACAAGCTAATTAGCGTACTGACGATTATCTGAAGAACCACATGAGATTTTTAAAAATTGCAACTGAATTTATTTAATAGACCAGACACTCTATTTTTAAATGAATTTGCATATATTAATACCACTTTTCAGCGAAAATGTAACAAATATGAACAAAAACCTATGGGGCTATTATTGATTCTGCCATTTTTGCGAAAATTAGGGTTTTCAGCTAAAACAGCCTGAAAACCCTAATTTTCGCAAAAAATGGCTTTTCGGTAGATTTTCAAAACTTATTATAAAACAAATATTGGCACA